AGGGGGATATATTATATAGGGCTTCTACAGGGACTATATTCCCTTATTCCCTGCTAACCACCAGTCAGTACGGGTTCTGTACAGTCCCGGTATAGTAATGCACACGAGCCCTGGTCTCAACTCCCCGTATCCCCCTTAATAACCCCTATGATACTCCCATCCCCCGCATAATCCCCTTTCAGGAGTTTAGACTATAGCTCACATGAGACCCGGCCTGATGTTTGATAGCCTGCTGAGCTTCCAGAGACATGCCGCCGGACAGGAGATTCACCTGTTGAACACCAATCAAAGGAACTGTGATGAAACTACCCTGATGCGGGTATATGGCTTCCCAAAATACAGGGACCCCAATGTAGACCCCTAAATATTGTAATCCCCATTATGGGGACCCCCAAAAAGGAACCCCTAATTTTGGGAAACACCCATACAGTAAATAATAAGGTTCTCTGGTTACAATAATGAGCATCGACATGGAAACTGGAGGCTTGCATGGATGCATCTTGTTTAGGGTTACGTTACTGGTTCGAAGAGGCTATGGAATGAAGGCACAGGAAAGAAAATGAAACAAAGCTATCGTTGCAATGGGGATTACATACGTGACACACAGGGGCCGCTTCAGGGATCCGATCCTCCTGAATGCCTAGGGTGAGGGTTCACGGGGAGGGTTTAGGGTTTGTTGAGTGAGCCGGGATCTTGGAGATCCAAGCGAGGTGTTTGGGTCGGGTGAAACCTTATTCCAGCTCATCCTTGGTATTTCTTAGTTTTGAAGGTTTCACCATGAACCCTAAACCCGAAACCCCTAAACTCCTGTATTATGGGAGCCTTGGGACTAAGAGCCCCATTATCCCCTTGCAGCATTCCCCGGGTCCCCTCTTTTCAGAAAGTCATGTTTCACTTTTTGACGCTCGTTCAGGAGTGTGGGGCGGATTGATTCCCCCTGCCCCCTTGAGCCCCACAGCAAACAGTCGAAGTCAAAACTTGTCATGTTTGTCTGGTTTTGCCGAGATTGAATATCGGTGAATGCTCGTGAAATAGCCAAGTCAAACTCACCACAAATTGCAGCTTAACATCATCCTGAGCCCCAAAAGTATGTAAAATAATTGCCTTTTGGGCTATTCTTAGGGGTTTAGGGCTATTATGTTACCTACTTTTGGGGCCCAGGCTGAGCTCTCACTGTGAAGCCAAAACCCGAAACCCTAAACCCTACACCCCAAACCCGCAGGGCCTCCTTCGAGTCCAGTTTGGTCACGTAATCGCTCAGCGTCGCTGCCTCTTTGCGCCGGGTTCCCCTAAATCCTAGACCCTAAACCATGTGGGAGTTTCTGATACTAGCCCCTTACAACGCCTAGGAGGGGACGCTACAATCTCCTCATTTGCCCTCTCTATGTATATATATATATATATATATATTTCTATATATATATATATATCTTTATAAATAGATATAGAATTTACATATGGACAGTTATGGCTTAGGGACATAATGTGAAACCAACAGGTGTCTCTGG